ATGTCTCCATGTCCCCCGAAGCCTCATGCGGTCATAGCCAGGGCTTTTCAGAGGTGGCTGGATCTGGAGTGTGCAATGCTGGGACCAGGAGCATGTGACTACTACATCACTGCACTGATCGGTTTGAAACAGTTCTGGGTGTGGATAATGGGAAGGCCCAGCCTGGGTTTGAGTGCTATCACCCTAAGGGATGTAGCCTGGACAGACTGTAAGGGACAGAAAGAAGACTGCTGTCGTCACTTGCTGCTCTGCTGTGTCAGTTTGCTGCCTTCTGCTGTGCTGCTCTCCACCCACCATGAACTGTTTCTCTTTTGCCATGCCCCTCCACCATGCCGCCCTGCCCTGGAGTCAGCTGACTGTGGACTGAAACTTGTACAAATTGTGAGCTGAATTAAGCTTCCCTCCTTTAACCTTGGGTATGGGGTATTTTGTCTCAGCAATGAGAAAAGTGACTAAGACAGATTCCAAGCCACACACTGCCAAGTGACTCTCTTGCTGAAAGTCTTTCCAGGGTCCCAGCATCCTGCAGCTCCTTCTACTTCTGCTGCCTCATCCTCCCCTTTCTTTGGCTGACCTTCCTTTCTCAAATGTCCTTCTCTGATGGATCAGCCTCTACTGCTAAGACTGAGGTCACAGTAGCTTTAGCCATGATAACCCCAAACAGAAAGGCTCCAGAGACCCACCATCTGCTATTATGGCTGAGATCTTAGACATTTCCAAAAGCCCACATGTTAAAGGCTCAGCCCCCAGCCGGTGGTGCTGGTGGAAGGTAGCAGAAGTGTTGGGAGCTGGGGCCTAATGGAAGGAAGTCAGCCCTTAGAGGTGAGGCCTTTGAGGGGGTGTTGTGACTCCAGCTCCCTCCTCTCTCTTGCTCACTGCTTCCTGGTTGCCATGAAGTGGGTAACTTTGCTCTACCACATGCTCCCTGCCTCGATGTCCCACCTCACCACAGATGCTCAAAGAACCAAACCAAGTGACCATGGACTGCCACCCCTGAAACTGTGAGCCAGAATAAATTCTTCCTTAAATTGATTATCTCAGGCATTTTGTCACAGTGACAGCTGGAGAACACAAATGGTGAATGGATAAACCAGCAGTGATATTTCTATGCAGGGCAATAGTACTTAACACAAAGGAACATAAGAACCTGCACAGCAACATAAATGAATCTCAAAAGCATTAGGCTACATGAAATACAACGGAAATAAGAGATTACATACTATGTGATTCTAGAAAGCTCTAAGAAAGGCAAAACCAGAACAAAACAGGTCAGTGGTTCCTGGGACATGGAGTGAGGGGACAGCGACAGGGACTGAGTGGGAACGTTACCAGGTAGCTCATTCCTTTTGCTGTGTGTATGTGCTGGGAACTGAACTCAGGTCCTCCTGCTTGCCAGGCAGGTGCTGCAATGCTTGCTTCTAAAAAGTGGCTCACAAAATAAATGTTACCAGGTTTGGAGTTGCTCACCTCTCCTCTGGAGTTCTTCTCGTTGTGAACAAAGAATTGAATAAGATGAGCAAAAAGCAGTGGCAAAGTTTATTTGAAAAAGTAAAAGTGAAGAGGGGAGAGAAACTGTCTCTGCAGAGAGAGCTTGGACTGAGTATATAGAAAAAGAGGTTAAGAGCAAAGATAAAATTGCATGGTGCATTTGGGAAACACAGCTTGGGCTGTCATGGAAATCTATGATAGCAAAGTCTTCATGGTGTCTGTGTCCTTTTGTGCTGTCTAAATCTCGAGGAAACAAGTGAGAACTTCTGCATCCCAGTCCTGAGAGGCAGTGCTAGGATCCCATGCCTCAACCTGACATCAGGTCTAGGCCTCCTATTGAAAACCTGCTGGAGTTCTCATGAGAAGGCCACGTGCAGGGCTTTGGGAACCGTTCTGTGCCTGTGTCTGGGATCTTGTAGTTAACAAGTCACATTCACTTCCCCAGCCAGCTCTGACACGCCTTTATCTTTTATCTCACAAAGATACAGAAAACAAATTTCTGGGGTAATGGAAATATTTTATATCATGGTTGTGGTGGTGGTTACACAATGGTATACCTTTATCAAACTCATGGAGCTTAAAATGGGTGAATTTTATTTATGGAAATAATGCCTCAATACTGTTGATTTTTGCTGTGTACTTTCAGTGGAATTTTTTAATCTTCTGGATATTTGTTTGAATCTATTTTATGGATTCCATTTCTTTCATGTGCTGGGTGTTCCTGATTTTCATCATTTTTCTGAGCTCCTCTATTTTTTTTTATCTGTACTGTTCTAGAGTCAGTAACCATGTCTTTCAGTATGGTCACCCTCTTTGTAGTTATCTGGGAAATTATTTCTGATTTGATTTTTTTCTAGAGCCTCATTCATCTGCTTCATTACTTCTACTGTTACCACTTCAAAGAGTACAAGTGGGTGGGTTTGGAATTGTTCTACCTCACTACCCCCAGGGTTTGCCTTCGGTGAGATAGAAGAGCTAGATGTCTGGGGTTTCATTTTGCTTAAATGTCTTCTTGTTTTCTCTCCCCTCCCCTCTCTTTTCCTGGGTTGACGCTTGTAAATTGCTTATGGCAAGGAGCTTTATTGATTCAAAACCCTTAAGAAATGACTACTTCTTAGAGATGCCTTCCAGGTGTAGCTGACTTTTGGATTTTGAGTGTGCTGCAAGGTCTTCTTCAATTTGCTGGGATAAGAAGCTGCTGCCTATTTGGCCTGGCTCCTGGTTCTTTGCCACTGGCCTGTAGTACTTTTTATGACTGTGAGGCAACCTCAGTCTTGGCACACCAGGAAGAACAACTGATTAGAACAATTATGTCACCTTGGCTAACTGTAGTACAATCAGCAATAACAATAGCATCAAACATAGCCTAGAAAGTGACAAACTAAGATAACTATTAATCTGCTGCCTTTAACCATATGAACTAATTTATGATTATATAAAAAACTCTAAAACCAGAAAATTGTATATAGTAAATAAGTAGTTAGTATGGTGATTTCACCCGAGGGAGAAAATTTAAAAGGGGTTGGGGGGAAAAAAAAAAAGAAAAGAGAGAAACATAAGAAGAGGAAGGGACTAGAGGCAAGGCTGGAGGACAAAGGAAGGTTTTGTAAATGTTGGGAAACTGGTGAAGAAGACAGGAAGGAAGGAGAGAGGAAGAAATAAGCACAACAAAACCAAATAACAACAGAAGTAGAAACAATGTTCACACTCATATAAAAATAAGAACAAACAATCAAGCAAAAACAAAAACAAAACCAAGAAAAAATAATGAAGAAAATAAGAAAAAAATGTTCACTTCAAGGTGTGTCTCTGCTGTCACTGGTAGACAAAGTGGGTAGACAGAGCCAAACTGATTAATCCCAGCAAACTAGCTATGGATTTATGTTGGGGTAGTGGATAATTCCAGCCAGCCTGCCCTTTTAGTTCCACTGAAGTTCAGGTTAGTTTCTGGCTGTGAGGCTGGAACCCAATTTGTTCAGCCTGCAACACTCTGTGTGCCTCCTGCCAGAACCTCCTACTGACTTGAAATTGGTTCCACCTCACCCTGACACAGGAAGCCAATAAATGGAGCCAGCCCCAGCTGCTCTGAGTTCCAACCTCAGCTGGCCCCTCTCCAAGATGGCTACTGTCCAGTTTCAGAAACTCCTGGGTAAAGTCTGAACCCAAATAACTTACCAGCCACTGTACTTCACTGCATCCACTGCTCCATTCCACTGGTGCGTTTTTCCGTGGAGGCCTCTGGGGTATCTGTCAAGCTGCCTCTCCCACCCAGTGAGTCAGGACTCAGGAAGAAGGCACCCCTTTCTTCCTTCTTCTCTTCCTCATGTCACTGTATTCCAGTATCTGGACACCAAATCTTGGAGAGGCTCTTTCTGTGCTGTTCATCACTCTACCATCTTCCTGGGAGTTGACAGTTTGTCAATACAGTTGATTTGAAAAGCCTCCCTTCAGGAGTTACAGCCTGGGCAGATGCAGCTCCACCTCTTCATCTCAGCTCGCCCATATCAAATTATCGGGGTCTGTTTCTGTTTCACATCTCCCATTAGACTTATACTTTGAGACTCATTTCTCACTGTGGTATCTTCACCTTGCTTGTGGCTGGCACTCCCTGGATACTCACTGAGAATTTGCCTAAGAGCTACTGAGGACTTGTCTAAGTGACAAGGATGCCCTCTGATGCCTTTCCTTCCCTTTCTAAAATTCAAGCCCTTGATTGCCTGGGATGGAAGAATTCTGATGGATCCACAATCCTTGTAAGACCTCATTTACCCATCTCTGGTTCACAGAGGGTGCTGGTGGCTCCTGACCTCCTGTTGTACTCCTGCCATCCTGTGAGTGGAGGCCCCTTTGGTCTCTGATGTTCCGGTCTCCCTCCCAGGTTTGGTGGTCCATCGTGCATCTTGAAATTCTACATAAGCCCCAGGAGGGAAGGGCCGTGTTCACTTTCCCATGCAGCTTCCTCTGCTGCTTGGCTCAGTGACTGGCATGCAACCAAATCACAGCCACGCTCTCTATAGGAATACACTGTCAAGGTTGGACACCTGGAATAAACAATTGGTAGTTTGCAGCTGAAAACAATGGAGTCATTTTTGTTTAAGGGCAGTTCAATTGACCATGTCCTCACCTCAAGTTATTTTTAACCTTGAATGAGGGTCTGGTGCTTTGTTGGGGTGCAATGGAGGAGGAAGGCAGGACAGAGGGACTCTCCCTGCGCGGGAAGGTCTTGGTGCCTGGGTGAATTTGGGGAGAGTGAATGGGGAAGGGCTATAGACACACCAGCATGGAATGGTCTGTAGTACTGCATCGAAAAAGCACAATACTTCACTTTTCAGGACAGTTTAAATTTACAGAAATATTGCTAAGATTATATGGAGAATTCTCATATATTCCTGACCCATTTTTCTGTACTATGATAACGTGGTACAGGTGTTGTATAATCAGTGAACCAATATGGACATGTTGTTAAAGTCCATAGTTTGTGCAGATTTCCTTAGATTCTCTGCAATGCCTTCTCCTTTTCTGGGACCTCACACTGTGTTTGACCATAAAGGCCCCTTAGGCTCTTCTTGGCTGTGAAAGTCTCAGAGTCTCCTTGTTTTGATTACCATGATGGTTGTAGAAGAGTGGACAGAGTATTCTATGCACAGTCCTTCTGTGGGATTTACCTGATGTCTTTTATGGGATTAGGCTGGGTTCCGACACATACAGGTAAAGAGCTGCATTTACTTTCCAGTCTAAGTTCTGTTAGTGTAGGTGGCAGTGTGTGGTGGTTGACATTCCATGCTTGTGAGTGCAGCTGCCTTGCTGATAAGGGGTAAGAGACTCCTTCCTAAGATGGAAAACAAGAGAAAAATGACACCCATTCTATTGCAGACTTCATCCCCTCTCTCAGCCCCAAACCCATAATGCTGTAACTTCGGGGCATTGGCTGTGCAGCCCACCTGGAGCAGTGCTGTCTACTGCTGTTTTCTTCCTGAGAAGATCTTCTTTGGGTTAGAAGGTCGGGAAGGTCTGGTCAACCGAGGGGCCTCAGCTGCTTTCCCCTCCTTCCCTGTACAGGTGCATGAAGTCCCTGCTGTTCCTGCTTGCCAACATAACTGGGCCATACAGGATGCCAGTGCACCAACCTGTTAATGAGCAGGGTGGGCCCCGCCTGTCAGAACAACAGAGTGGATTTAACACGAGCTGTGTTGCTCAGATTCTGTCAGACCCTGGGTGAGGGAGAAGTGACTTTTGCCTTCCTGGCCCCACCAGTGTGACAGCACACGGTTTGCTTTGTACCCTGGCTGGCCTTCGGGAGAAACTCGGCTTAGTTCAAGGCTGTGACATGTGTACTAATCCCTAATCCTTAACTCTTTGGCCCTCTTCCATATCAAACCATCTCCAGGAGTCAGCAGGACCGAGCTTTGCAGAGTGCTCTAGCCCTGCAGCCAAGAGCTTTGCTGGGCAGCTCCTGCACACATATCTTGTCATTTTGTCTCACCCAATCTTCAGTGTGGCACGAGGTGGTGATGACACTTGTGAGAGTTACTAATCACTGAGCATTTAGTATGTGCCAGGGGGTTTTGCTCATTCACTCATTTATTTATTTGTTTTTTTGAGACAGGGTCTCACTATGCGGTTCAGGATGTTCTTGAACTCACTAGGTAGCCCCAGCTGGCCTCAAATTCACTGCTGTCCTCCTGCCACAGCCCCAAGTGCTGGGATTGCAGGTGTGTACCACACCTGGCTGTGCCAGGGTGTTTTAAAGAGTTTGGCATGGATTACCCCCCTGAATTTCACAATAATGCTGTAAGTGCCTTAACTTTAAGCACAGACACTAAACTCAAATCAAGAGGGATCAAAGATCTAAATATTAAAACAGAAACACTTAATCTGCTGGAAGCAAACAGGTAGAACTCTTGAAGGCATAGGTGTAGGCCAAGACTATGAACAGGACCCTGATCGCACTGGAAATATCACAAAGAATCAACAAGAGGGAACTTATCTTATTAAAAAGCTTTTGCACAGCAAAGGAAACCACCAACAGAGTGAGGGGACAACCCACAGTGTGGGAAAAAAATTTTGCCAGCTCTTCCTCAGGCAAAGGACTAATATCTAGAATATACAAAGAACTGAAAAAAATCAGACCTCCCCCAAATGTAAAGACCCAATCCAAAAATGGGCATCTGAAGTGAATATACACTTCTCAGATGAAGAATTAGAAACAGCAAATAAATATATATTAAAAAAAGTTCAACATCAGTGGTCATTCGAGAGATGCAAATAAAACAATGCTGAGATTCCACCTTACCCCAGAAGGAATGGCTGCTATCAGGAGATCAGTCAATAATAAATGCTGGCGGAGCTGTGGGGAAAGAGGAGCCCCACACCACTGCTGGTGGGAGTGCAGACTGGAGCAACCACTGTGTAAATCAGTGTGGAGATTTCTCAAAAAATGAAAACTAGAGGTTCCATCCGACCCAGATTTTCCTTTTCTAGGTATCTTCCTGAAAGAATTAAAGTCGTCATACCACAGTGATACATGAACACCTACATTTATAGCAGTACAGTTTGTAATAGCTAAATTTTGGAAACACCCAAATACCCATCAACTGATGAATGGATAAAGAATATTTGTTTTTTTATTAATACAATGGAGTACTACTCTGCCATAAAGATCAGCTTGAGACATTTATAGCTAAATGGAGGCACTTTGAGACCATACTGTTAGGTGAGATAAATTGGACATGTTTAAATATCATGTTTCTGTGGTAGGAGAAACTGAAAGGGTAAATACGGACCAAAATGTATAATAGATATTGGGAAATAGGAAGAAAATGTTCAAATGAGAAGGGGAACAGAGAGGAGGGAGGGAGAAAGGAAAGAAGGGACAAAAATAAAAGAGAGACTAGAAGGAAAAAAGCCTTTGTGAATAAGGAGGGGAAGAAGGGCCGAAGGGAAGGGGGAAATGAAAAAAAAGAAGCAAGATATATCATGTACTGGTTCAAATTCCTTATGATGAATGTTGTCATTATTATATCTAAAATATAGCAATAAATGTTTCGCTCTCCAAAAAAAGAAGCATAGAGCTTGATTGAATTTTTTGTTTGTTTTGGAACCGGGTATCGAACTCAGGTCCTTGCGCTAGCAAGGCAGGCAGCTAAACCACTGAGCTAAGTCCCTGGCTGTGAAGTTAGTGCTTATGCCAAGTTAGTGTGAGCATGTGGGCAGCAGGGTCCTCCTGGCGGCCCAGGGCGTCTCAGGAAGCAGTCAGACAAGGTGCTCCCCTCCAGCTCCTGACCGTCAGCTGCAGCATGTCCGTCTTCTCTCTACAGAACGGGAGGCTTGGCTCGGCAGAGTTTGGCTAAGCGTGCAGTATTTTCAGCTCCATCTCCAGCATGCCTGCTCTCTGCCTCCAGATTTCCAGGCCCTCCGGGCCCTGACAGCTGAGCCTCCATCTCCGAGCTGAGGACCTGCAGCTTCTGTACCCTGTCCATGGCCGCCGCGTGTCAGCTGGGGAACTGGCCACCCGTCCGCACCTCCTCCAGCAGCTGCGCTGGTCCTTTTCCAGCTCCTGGAACTCTTGGCGATGGCATTCTTCTCAGTGGGGCCAGCTCTCGCTGCTGCGGCTCCACAATGAACCTGAAAAGGCCTTCTGGGGTCCTGAGGTTCAAACCTGTGATCTGGCCCAGCGCCTCCCTGCATCGCAGCTTTGCCAGCAGCCTCCGTTTCTCCAGCTCCAGGCCAATCAGAGCTTCTCGTATCTTCTCTGCTGGCCCAGCCACCCTGCAGCCGGTCCAGCTCCTCTGTGAGCATCCCGTTGGCGCCCATTATCTCCCACAGGTCGAGCTGCTCCCGGAGCTCCTGCTCCTCAGGCTCCAGCGGCTTCGCCTTCACTTGCTGGTGCACCAAGCTCCGTCGTGGCTCTGGGTCGGCCTCCCACTTGTGGCTCCCGGCACTGAGACTGGCTGCCTCCCCCAGCTCCACGCGTGTCCGCCTGGGGCTCGACCCCACCTGGACGAGGCAGGACTGAGCCAATCTGCCCGGCTCTTTCCTCCTCTGACCGCACGCTCTGCTGGCGCCGCCCTCGCAGAAGACTCGGGGTAGAGGCGGACACAGCTAGGCCGGTCTTGCTCCGCTAGCCGGGGAATGAAGCTGCTTAAAAGACTTACCGTAGGGCGGACAGGACAGTGGCGTTCTCGCGCAGATCTTCGGTGGCCGCCTTCTTCCTCGCGGACCTCCCTCCGCTCCACCGGTACCCACTTAACGCGAGAGTTGCGCCGGTGTCCTCGCGAGACCCAGGGGGAGCCAACCAGGGCCAGTAGAGAATCAAGGGCGTGCGGCTCGCTCCAGTCGACGCTTTCGGAGTCTGGACCCCAGGAGGCCATCCAGGAAGCTCCCGCCGAGGGTCTCCGAACCAGCCTGGACCTGTGTGGTCGGTCGACCTCGGTGCCTTCCCACGGGAGGCGCTTCCGCCTGGTGCGCCAGTAACAAGGGAACAACTGACGTGAGGTAGGGTCTCTGTATTCTAAAGCTTTTAATTTTCTTTGACGTTAACAAATTTAAATATGTTTCCTGCTCTGATATCCTTCATTTTAATATAAAGATAGGAACTGACGGTCTATAGAGAGCATATATACAGGTTCTAGCAGTCTTAATTTTTAAACTCTATTTTGTTCTTTAAAAGAAAGTAATGCAGTCATGCCTTTTGGGGGGAGCAAAGTGTACAGTTTTATTTTATCGCCAGCGGGTCAGTCTGGGACTTCTCCACAAAGAGACCAGCCCCACCTATGGGGTGCAGCAGGGAAGGGTATACTCTCCGGAGAGGCGGCTTGCAGGAGTTGAGCACAAGTCATCTGGGCCCACTAATTCCCTGCTTATCGGGTATCATAGACAACAAACTCAATGCACAGAGCCACGTCCCACTTATATTTGACGGGGAGCTAGAAGTAATAAAACAACCGAGAAGCAAGAAAATGCCTGACATGTTTCAGAGGAAGTGTCCGGAAGCCCCGACAGGTTGAGGGAATGGGGAAAACGTTTCCACCTGTGAGTTTGGCTTGACCTTCAGAGAAACAGCGTTCCCTGTTCATGCTTTCCTCTTTTTGATGCTGGTTTATTCTTTAACTGTCGGAGCTGCTTACACGTTGGTTGGTGTATGTGTAAGCATCTGATTCTAAGACCATCATGATCTGTTAGGATTCTTGCATTTTTATGGAATTAACACCTTGGGAGACAAAATGTGTGACACATGGGCCAATAGTTAATAACATAAAGAGAGGTCCTAATGAGGCACTTATCTATGTTTTCCACTTACCTAGGATGCTTTCCAATTGCCAAGATTTTATGAGCCAATCTAAATATAAGACAGCAAACACCAGCATAGACCCCCAACATACAGCTAAGAGGAAACATCTTTAGAAAGTATTTCAGTCCTCTGGAGTAACAATTATTAAACCCATGTCAATAATAAAGGCAGTCACTATGTCATAGGCAAGAATAAAGATATCTTGAGTGTGTTGTCTCCTAGGGTGATTTTGGATTTTTGAGACAGGGTTTCACTATGTAGTTGAGACTGACCTGGAACTCACTATGTAGCCCAGGATGGTCTCGAACTCAGTGATCCTCCTGCCTCAGCCTCCCAAGTGCTGCGATTACAGGTGTGCGCCACCACGCCTGGCTTTCTTGGGTGATTTTGAAGAGAGTTGTCTCGCCCGCCTCTCAGTAGTGGTCGTGATGGGGCTTTTTGATCTGAGAGCGATGAATCTATGGCTGAATGTCTGGAATTTTAACAGCTCAATCTAATAGTCTTGGGGAAACCAGTGAATGTGTCTTGATTTTTTTGTTGGCTCTCTGCTGTGTTGGTTTCTAGAGGGCTGGTGTCTTGAGGAGGCCCTGTTGAACTGTCTAAAGGACATCTAGTTAACCTATCTGTCTGTAGCTTTTTTTGTTTTGTTTTGTTTTGTTTTGTTGTTGAAGAAGTACCTCTAATGGCGGTGAGGGGCAAGGGGTGAAGACCTTGCATATGATGTCAGGCTGAGAAGGGCTGTACCTATGATCTGGAGAGATACTCTAGAGAGGGTTTATCTAAAGGCCCTAGGTAGGCGCTAGGCATTGTCTCTCAGGCAGCTTTAAGTCTGGAGGAGACAAGACCAAAAACCAGTTAAGAACACATGGGCTAAATAATGAGATCACCAGGGTTGTTATGAATGTAGCCAATAAGAGGGTTTGTTTGTTTGTTTTTTTTCCCAGCTTTAATTGAGTTTATTGGTACATTTTAGGGATACAGTACAGTTACATTCATTGTTGGGATCTTGTACCTCTACATGACAAGTCTTGGTTCTCATTTTTTTTTTTTTTTTTT